TGGGGCCGGTTGCTCGAAGCCTGGTTAGCGCTAACCGTTGGTTAAGAGGTATCAAAATGTATAGGTTTCCATGGTATTTAACGCTGGTTAGCACTAACCATGCTTCGAGCAACCCGGGCCTGGAACATATTTTTCCACATTTTGTACATGAGGCCGTTACCTGGCGCAAACTTTCCCGCGCTTGGCAACGGATGCAGGTTTTTCGCGCCTTTTCTAGCCTGCGTGGCAGGCGTTAATTGGGGAAGGGGAAGAGGGAACTTGGGCGCGCGAGGAGGGAGAAATAGTGAGCGACTGCAATTTAAGCTCATGTTTCCTACTTACCCTCTTCGCGCGCCCGAATTCACGTCTTCCCTTCCCCTATAAACGCCTGCCACGCAGGAGCGTACCTTTTCCCGCGAGGTGAGCCAAACGTGATGGTCTATAAGAGGTCTATTCGAAGAGGACAGACGGCAAATTGTTGTTGCTGGTAAGATGCTGGTAAGTCGTAACTGTTTATCAGTAGGATGCACAAAATGTTATGGGGTTAAGTGTCGAACATTAAAAAGATTCCAGCAAGTCATTGTTCAAACAGTAATAAACGTTAACACGAATGGTAGCCACAAGGCAGACGCCATACCTGACATGAGGTAGTCATGAATGTTTTCCACAATAGTCTCGCGGGCTTGTGAAGAAAGGATTTGAGCCAGAACATAGCTACAATAGAGTGTTGCAACATATTTAGTAACAAATTATATGGCTTTCAGAGTAAAAATTCAATTTTAGCCCTTGCTCATTTGCATGACGCTTTCCACAAAGGAACTCAACTTGTTGTCTTTCGTTTCGGTTCTTTTTTAAAACCTTGTTTGGCTCCTTCTTCCATCTATTTTTTTTAGCCCACGGCACCGTTCTCTTCAAGAATCGATAATATATTGAAGATCTTTTTTAGACTGTTTTCCGTAAAATTCCGAAAATAAGCCCCTCCAAATATAAGCCCCCCCGGGGGTTTGTACTTGCAAATTGCCCTCTAATACAAAGTAAAACAAAGCAAAAACGGTAAATTTACTTCCAACTATAAGCCTTGGCTAGCCCGAACGCTTTTGAAACGCAAATTTCCCTCGGTAGATAAGCCCCTCCAAATATAAGCCCCTCAAACAGGGCCTTTGAAAAATATAAGCCCCGGGGCTTATTTTCGGAATTTTACGGTACCTTTACAAAATAATAAGAGGATATTTTTGAGTTACCTCAAGCCTCTGTTTCAAAGCGAGGCTAAGTGCAAAACCATTAACATGAACATGATCTTTAATTCTCATGTAAATTTAACTCATTTTCACATCAAAGGTTTTACACTGAGCCTCACTTCGAAATACAGAGTTTTTGGAACTGGAAACAGCCTATTTAATTGATGGAACGAAAGCTTACTTCCCAGCATCCTTTGCGAGGTCGCACCAGTCCCTTCTCACAATATCTAGACCCTTCATTTCTTTCACTTCATTAAGGGTGCCTGAAAAGATGAAATATATTCGTATCGATGAGAAGTGAAAAAAAAGCTTACAAAAACACTTGATTATTAACTTACCATCCTCATTTTCAGAAATACTGATGGCAGCATACCTTAAAAAAGAGTATATAAAGATGAAAGCTAGAAGCACATGCAAAAAAGATCAAAAAATGAAGAGGAACGTGATCAATTGATGATGCCGTCTTCTCCATTGTATAGTACTTACTTCTTCTTTTTTAGTAGAAGCATGGACTTGAAAATGCCATCAATGTCTATCTCAAGTAATCGGTAAAGTTTGTTCACCTCATTTTTCACCTAAAATTCAAAAAACAAGGCCACTGTTACAATAAAGTTTTATAAATCAATAAATAAGAAAAATAAAATAAACAAATAAATAAATAATGCTTTAAAGGTAGTACATCCACTTAGTAGTTCTTCATCTACCTGATTCCTGGTCGATTTGGAATTTGCAAATGTTGGTTTTTCACAAGAGAGGAAAACTGGAGCACCCGGAGGAAAAACGTTGACGCCGGGATTTGAACCCGGGCCACAGTTGTTCAAAAGGTGGATAACGCTATCCACCGGATAAATCACTATCCACTGAATAGCGTAATTTTTATTGGTTTCCGTAACAGTTATCCGTTGGATAGTGATTTATCCGGTGGATAGCGCTATCCAACTTTTGAACTGGGGCGTGGGCTACATTGGTTGGAGCGGCATTGGTGCTCCTTGCTTGCTCCCGAGAAAGATAATAGTAAAGCGCCAGTTTGCTCAATTAAGCGTTTACATTTTCCTTCTACTGCAGACATAAACAGATCATTTGGAACGCCAATACATGCAATTCATGGCAGGATAACTGCCCACCTACCCCGGCCTCCCCTACGCCAACATTAACACTTACACTTAAGGCAAAATGTTGGCCTAGTGGAGGGGTAGGTGGGCAGTTCGACCTTCTTTTTAGTATCTAAGCGTTTTGTTAGTTTTCCTTTTCTCCTTCTCACGCAAGAAACGAGGCTCTGATGATTCTCTGATTACGGTAATTTCTTAAACCAGTGATGAACGCCATAGCTGTCTTTCGTGGGGCCCAGGACAGTATCGCTCCCATCTTTTAACCCCTTTAAGACCTAAAAGTACACGCACCTTGTTGCCTATCTTGCGGACTTCACCGAGATCATTAGAATTCGTGTTGATCATGATGGAGTCTGTGTCACCGTAAATCACATCAAGACCCATCTAAAAACAATATAAACAACCAGCTAACTTAATAACATGACAACGGAAAGGATCATTATACATGTTTGGGAAACTGCCTACCTACCCCTCCCCTAAGCCAACATTTTGCCCTAAGTGAGAAGTAAGTGATAACATTGGCTTAGGGGATGGGTAGGTAGGCAGTTTCCCAGAAACGTAAAATAATCCAAAAGTTACATTGATCAAAAGTCCAGACACCATAGAAGAACTAGTTATAGTCATTACAGAGGAACTCTAACTCTTCATTGCTCTAACAAAGCTGCAAATAATTTTCTTTCTCAAAGTACATATGTTTGGCTAAGTCACCAATATTGTGGTCGGATTCGGTCAAGAACGCATTGCACATCTTTACAGAAAGTTGTCCAAGGTAGGCGCATGATTAGAAGGTAGACTGTAGGTGCTGTTCACTGCAACAATAGGGAACTTAAGCAACGACGACGGCGACGTCAACAAGAACGGCAAAAAGCAGTAACTTTAGATTGGCAAAACAAAAACTTTGCACGTGCATCACGCTTTTTGTACATTTCTTTGCCGTCATTGCTCGACTACGACGTGAAACTTCTTAATTTCACGTTTTATGGAGGACGTGGACACAATCAACGATTTTTTTTTCTTTTTTTGAACTTAGATACAGTTTATAGGAATTAAACTCCTAAAAAAATCGCCAAAATTTGAAAAAATTAAAAGAGTTGGAATAAAAGCGACGAAGTTTGAAGCAGCGCGAATTCACTTTTCGGGTGACGTTTTCGCTGCCGTTGCGGTCTAATTACGTCCACTCAAAAAAGGTTGCATTCATCTGCTGAAAACGTAGTCTTTGGCATTAACTTCGAGTGGACATAAAGTCCAGCAACAGTTAAGGCTGTTTGATGATGGACTGCTATTTGAGAAAGTCTCTTACGTTTTGAACAAGTTCCTTGGTTTTCATCAAAATCTGCAATGATAAAGAAATGTGTAAAATAAAATAAATTAGCAACAAAAGTTCAATCATTTAGTTTGTAAACGACAGTCTTCACTATCGATGTGACCCTGTAACTGACAGGGTCCCATCGACAGGACCAAAGACAGTGCCCGTATAGAGAGGAGAAGTGTGACGTCACGTTACCATGGTAGCACTATTTCTGGGTGACAACAAAACCAACGACGATGGTGACGGCAAGGAGAACGGCAAAAAAATAAAATGTTTATATTAACAAACAACAACTTTGCACGTGAATCACGCTATTTTGTACATTTCCTTGCCATGGTTACACCACTACGACATGAAACTTCCTAATTTCACGAACCCGCTTCATCTAGTAATATACATGAACACAACACAAAAATTTTCGCTTCCTTTTTCTAAACTTAGATAATGATAGATATGGCCCAAAGAAAATTTCGCCAGGATTTGCCAAATTAAATGAAACTGAATAAGATCGGTGAAGTTTGAAATAGTGTGAATAGATTTTTAAGTGACTTTATCGGTTTGTTGTCATCCAAAAATTTTGCTACCATGACAACGTGACTTAAATCTCTACGCTTTACAGACGCCCGCTTAATACGGACACCTCATTATTACGGACAGTTTTCCTTGTCCCGGGGGAACGTAAGCCCTCACATTTTCTCAAAATTCAACCCGGTTAATACGTCTAAAACGGACAGCCCCTTAAGTGCCCATATTTGCGGGGTTTGACCGTACTTTAAGCGTGAAAGAGGTATCCCTTTCTGAAGGAGCCTCCCCGTATAGGCTATTATAGGGAGTGCGCCCCCTCCCCCCCCCGGGACAAAACTATCAACTGTATCAAAAACTATGGATAAGATAAAACGGGCGATCACGTGACCTCCTCTGGCAATAAAAAGATCACTAACGCCTTGGATTTTGAAAGAAAATGCCATGACAAAACAAAAGGTCTTTGATATTGTTTACTTTCCGCAAGATTTCAACTTCTAAATTTGCATTTAATAAGTCAAGTAGAGACAAGGTATAATAAATGAATTTAAAATAGTTACCCATCACGGAGCATGAAGAATCATTTACTGATATTTTATCGATTTGCTGTAAAATCTTTGCTCAAGAAAGCTGGAGATAAAGGCAGTTTTAAAGGTTTTTGAAAACTGAAACAAAGCACAATGGTATAACTCATACGAGCACTCTGAACTTTTCTCGTGACAATAATGGAATTTGGTCGAGTTCTTTTGAAAGGCAATTAAACTTTAATTGCGAAATGTTCAATTGGTCGAGTCGTGCAAATAAATAACAAGGGGATTAAATATTTCATTGACACTGGTGCAATGATTAACTGCTACAACGCGTAGAGCATTTGACAAAAAATATCAGGTATGCAACAGAGGCGAGGAGCTGAGAAGCTATCCGTTTAATCAACAGAAAAGGCTGCAGAAGACACGAAGTCTTTGAGTGGCACTTGAAGAAGCAGATGGTTTGAAAGTATCTAAATATATTTTATCACTGCCATGTTGCATCGCCGCTATACGTCCATAGCGGAGGAACCCGAAAGTGGAGAAACCAGCTTACCCGAAGGTACGAGAAGTGGCAGGCTTATTTCTGTCGCTACGGTAGGACTTAGTTTAAGGAAAGCCTTCTGTATTTTAGGGCAATAGCTAGAAAAAGTCATCGACTGACTAACAAAGTTGTGGTCGACGGTACGCTCAATTAACCCGTGCCTCGTTTTACGGTATTTTCAAGCCACACAAGAACGAAAGACGTCGAGAAAAGGTTTTGAGGTCAAACCAGAGAATAGAATTCGGGACCTCAGTCTCGTACAGAAGGCCGCGCACTAACCAACTGTGCGAGTCCTACTCCGATAAACAAACAGTATTCATATCTCGGTTAAGATACAGCTCGTGGATGTATCGCGATGAATTTCTAGGAAGTGTAGGTTTATATTCTCGAAAGACAGGTTTCCAGGCCAAGCAGTCGGTGCTTCCCTGAGGCGCTGTGCCACTCGGGTTTCCAAAACAGTTTTAAGACTTCATGATTAAGGGAGTTCTTCGATGTTTGAACCTCAACAAAAAAAAGGGCGTGAAAACATAAAACCCTTGTTAACCCTTAAAGGGCTCTACTGAGATCAGCATGCAATTCTCCACACTCTGTTTCGTACATTTCCTATGGTATTAATGTAGAGAATTTGTTTTAATAATCAAGACTTTTTTCAGTTGTTGATTATTTCTGTTTTCTCGTGACCTTTAAGTTTGAGAAGTAGTATTATTTCATGAAACTAAAATCCTTACAGTACTGTATTAAGCAAATAACGTTTTTGGAAAAGCTGGAGAAACGAAGGTTTCTTACAAGCGGGTTTTACTGTACTGTAACACTGCATACCAATGTTTGCAAAGTCAAATGTTGTTATCTAGGTGAAAAATTGGTTTACATTTCAAGGTATAACAAACGCCCGTAAATAAACTTACTTTAGTTTTTATTTTAGTGTTTGCTTACTTATTTTTATATTTCAGAGAGAAATCTCAAAGAAACAACAGACGACAAAAATCTCAGTTTTACGAAAACGCGAAACAGCGAGTCCTCCAGCCGACAATCAGCGACGAGTGCCCGATTGTCGACCTCGGAACTCACCGAAAACACACTGGACGAATCGGAAAGCGATCGGCTTTCGTTGTCAGAGGATGAAGATTTATTCGCCGAAGAAGCCGAAAACAAGCCCCAAAGAAAAGATAAGCGGGCGTCAAGTAAACAAAGCAACAGTTACCTACACCGAGCGTCGAAATACGAAGAAGAGATCTTGAAGTCAGTGAAATTAACTCCTAATCAAATTCGTGAGATAAAGGAAGCCTTCCATGTTTTTGATAACAATGGCGACGGATGTATTACCGCCACAGAACTGAAAAAACTGGTCACCTCGCTTGGTTATAATATAACAGAAGCAGAACTTATGGACATGATGAACCAAATAGGTAAACTGAAGTATGAAGGTTGCGCCAGCTCTCTGTCGTTATCATAAAACGCTTTGAGTAACCTCGTTCATATTTTGAAAAAAAAAAGTACATAAAATACTGAAATAGAAAAACTTAGGCAATGTTCCCAATATACCGGGAAGCTTTTCCGCCGGCACAAAAACCATACCGGATAGGATTCTGTTCACACAGAAGAACGGTGATTTCTACGCGATTTCTCTGACTGAGCGAATCTGCGCCGCGCGGATCTCTAAACTGGAGAGTCACATATCGGATAGTGTTCACAGTATACCGTATAGCCTTTTGTGTCGACACAAAAAGCTCTTCGGTATAGTGTAAACATTACCTTACAAGAAAAAAACCGAGCGAACATGAATGCTAACCAACACTGAACGACCAAAATGTCCAACCATCGGGGTCAGGGGTGGGGGAGGGAAGAGACCACACTCTCTGCTTACCACGAGAGCTTGTTCGCAGGCGTAATTTTCCTCCCTTAACGAGCCACGGCGCGTCTCTATAGTTTCGTCAGAAAGTTTATCTCGGACTAATTCGCCATCAATCCTTTTTTTTTTCATGTCTGTCGATGAGATCTGGGTACACTTAAGTTCTGAGTTTACGTTTAAAATATGTTCTTGGTGTTTCGTTTTTAGATGCAGATGGTAACGGCGCCATTGACTTCCCAGAATTCCTCGCATTGATGACAAAAAATCTAGAAGACTGTGATCCGGAAGACATTTTACTGGAATCTTTCAAGGTGTTCGACCGGGACGGTAGTGGTTTCATAGGCGTTACTGAACTCGACCGAGTCTTTAAGCTGCTCGGTCAAGACTTCAAAGATTACGAGATCGAGGCCATGATAAAGGCCGCTGACGCCGATGGCGACGGGCTCGTAGGTTGGGAAGACTTCACAAAAATGATGAACGTTTAAATGGATTGGACATTGGGGGAGTCTCGAGAAGTAACGCGAGAGCCGCACGCAAAAGGAAACTCGGGCGCGAGGGCGCGTTGTTTCGCGTTTCGCTTCGCTCGCCATAACGGGAGAGCTTGCTCGCAGGCAAGGACATTACAACGAAAAAAACGACGTGACCTTGAAGCTTAAGTTATTACATACTACTGAAGTATTATGGAAAAAAGTATAAGATACTAAACAAAATTAAAATATGTCGAATATGTAGAACTCTGTGTACTTTCTAGCCAGCAAACTAGCCTGAAATATTTCGTCAGCTTGGAGGTTTAATTTTCAAAGTTATCAAAACCAATTTTTTTTCAGATTTCAATGGAAACGACGAAACAAATAAAATTTCTCTCTGCCTGGAAAACGCTCATTGGGATTTCCTAAACAATTCCTTCCACTACTCCTTTCTTAGCGGAGGGGGGGGGAGGGGGGGTGCGTTTCGTGACGAGACAAAAAGGGTTGCGCGGGAGACTAGGGTAAACGTCATTTAAAGAATTTTTCACAACTGACGATTTGACTTACGTTAAGAATAATTCCGAGCAACTTTTTGTTGAAAAATGGCGAAGACAAGTTTTGAACGCTTAAAACTTTTTTTTTTAATTAAGTCCCAAAACAATGAATCTAAATCTAAAGAATATCTAGTAAGCATCAAATTTTAAACACTGAAAACAACCCTTTTCTTTCGTTTTACAGCTGTGTACTATTCTAAAAAAATTCCAACGATATTGGCTACGTGACCAATTTTCATTTAATTATCTTTTATTTTGCCACCAGCTTTAACTCTTAAAAGAAACGATTCAATTTTCATAAGCTTGAAAACAAAAGCGAAGTAATGATGAAAGGCCAAAATCAGTACTTAGCCCACCTTCGGATCCAAGTAATTAACCTTCTTTTAAAAACCTGCATGTAAATCAGACGAACTAGGTCATCTTTTGTTGGCTTGACAATAGAATACGATGTTAACAATGTGCATCTCGTTAAATGCGAAACTGGTTTTGCGAATGAGACCAGCCGCCTTCTGCACGAATAAAAAGAAATTCCGATAAAGCAGAGCTTGCACTGAGGGCGATGTAGCACTCGTAACAACTGTACGTTTTTGGCGATAGCCTCAAAATGTCAGTATTCAACAACCAACGACAAGCGAATATAAGAGTGGTTTTTCGCAAATTTGACAAAGATTCCGACGGATTTATAACTGTTAAAGACCTCATTAGCGTTTTCAGGGAACTTGGCGAGGATGTCAGAGAAGGTGAACTGAGAGAGCACTTTCATAACGCAGGTAGGCGGAACATGGATGTGAAAAAAGGAATTTCGATAAGTATGATCTTTTACTGCGGCGTAAAAAGGTGGAAGCGAAGGTTAAAGCGAAAACTGGTTACTTCTAAGCAAACCTCATTATCGGAATCTTCTATCAGGTTCTGATAACTGTTAGGTCTACAAAGAAATTTCCCAAGTTTCTGAAGTTAGACACTACTTAAAAGCTCACAGTTTAGCAATTCCACTGACTGGCTAAGATTATGCTTTTGATCTTTACATAGTACACAACCGGGAGAGAGTAGTCCACGACTTAACTACATAGAGACTTCTTAATCGACCTTGGATCATTACTTTTAAATAAATCATTTCGATCTCTGATTAAATCCTCTATCACACCCATTTTTTGTAATTACACATGTGGGAGGTCAAATAGGATAAACTACAGCTCACCTTCCAATATTAGAGCCAGTGTTGAAACCTACCCTCCCCAGCTACATAATTTACTGCAATTCTCTCCCCTTTCCGTCCCTGACATTTTATGCCCCCCCACCCACCCTGAGGTTCACGTATTTCTAGTTATTTTTAAATAAATTATATCAATATTTAGCACTAAACTGTAATGGTTCACAGTGATATGCCATCGAGTCAACTCGTCGCTTCAACAAGCTTCCTTTTTCTCGTTTATTTTCAGGCCTGGGACACCGACCAAACACGCTTATATCTTATGATATTTTTCAGCAGATTTCCAAAAAAATCCTGCGTGAATCGAGAAAGGAACGACGTCTTAAAAGGGTGTTTCAAGAGTTCGACGCAGAAAAGAAAGGCTACATCGAAGGGCATGGGATACGGCGGGTTCTTCGAAGACTTCACATTGACCATACAGAATCAGATATAGACTTAATGATGAAAATGGCAGATACAAAGGGAGATGGAAGGGTAGATTTTGAAGAATTTCTCCAGATTTTCAACGACTCGGATGATATTTAAGAATTTCGCCATACTATTGCTGCGGCTAGTGCAGAAAAAAACAAATATGTTTATTTTTAGTAGTTGATCGAGTTAATCGGAATGTCAAAAGGTGGGCAATTGTTTTCAATTCCAGATCAAGTTGTTTTCATTTTGGGGATTATAGATAGGAAATTTGATTTCTCAAACGTTCAAAATTCTTTAATAGTTTGAATTGTCGTAAGATTTCTTAAGGTGTGAATGTTCAGGTAATCCGACTAAAATAAAACAGTTTAAACAAAGTTGGATTAACAAACCGAGCAAAACTTTCAACAGGAGTCAGAATTTTAAGGGAAGTACAATAAAAAAGCTACAGAAATAATGAAAAAAATAATAATATGTAAACGTCTATAGCACTCCGCTCTCATCAATTGATTTTTTATGGCCCTGAAAAATCAACTGTCCGACGACTTGGGGTCAATCAAAACTTTTATGCTTTCAGATGCGAAGATGTGATGCCGGCTTCGACAACTTGAAATTAGTATAAGGCAGAGTTACGCGAACAAATACAGGTGGTTTCCACACAAGGAAAAACTATTTTTTTCTGATTTTTTTTAAAAATAATTTTGCAAAAAAGTCATCGCACTCAATTCATAAATAATGTTAGACGGCTGGCATACTTTCTTCTCAAATGAAAAAAGTAAATTTGAAACAACGTTTGATAGAAAAACAAAGTAGAGAAGGAAATAATAACACAGCAGGCATTTAAAGTCCGTCAGTGGTCACAAGTATTTTTCTATGTCATTTCAAAACTAATGAATGAAAAAAGAAACAAAGCTCTTATGGCAACTACTTGACGTCATTTCAACCGCAATATTTTTCTTCACGTAACATGGCAACAAGAAACAGCATGGCCAGCGGACCGTAGAAGCGAGGTTGTAAGAGAAAGACCAATCAGAACACAAATAAATACGTAGCCCGTGAAAAGCGCGGGAAAATCTATTGGTGAGGGTTTTACCAAAGTCCAAGGCTTTAACAATACTCCCGAGATCACTAGCTGTTCAGCTATCTCACCTTTTAAATAGAAACTCGAGAAATTCCTAAGCGAAAATCAGCGATTCTCCGAAATAGGACGCTTCCCTTTTTTCGGGTCTTGGATGGCAGTTATAGTTCTGGCACTCCACGCGCCTTTCGTGGTACGACTTGCGGACAAGTCTAAAGTTCGCGCAATGTAGAAATTGGTGTGGACACAACCTACTGTCTCAATAGAGACCTAAAGATACACCGTTTCCGTGTACGGCGACGGGTGAATTACCCTTACCCCTAGCCGTAAAAGACGGGGTATACTGTCTCATACCCTGAAGGAAACGCCGACTAGGCTACCGGTAAAGTTACTGTAATAATAGACCTCAGATAAGCCGTTTCCGAAGCACTGTTAAGTAGGGCAAATTACCCTTACCCTACCCCAAGAGGTAAACACAGGTGTAACAACTCTTACCCCAGAGAAACGGTTAACCATCCGGGTTAAACGTTAGGACCAATAAACACCGATTACTTAAATCATAGTCCCCTTTTCTAGTATAAACAGACGACAAAAACGACAGTGCATTTTACGGTTCCTTGCCATGTTTTCTAGCAAGCGAACGTACGTCTACCTAAGACTCGTGCTTTGTTATTGTCCTTAATAGACCTTTCACGGTTTTCAACGCCACCTTGAGGAGTAGGCAAACGCGTGAGAAATTACAGTGTTTGTATGAGAATCTAATGTCGAATAATTTCCGTAGAACGGCTGTTCTGAAAAAAATATCAATTGTAAACTAAAGCTACAAAAGCAAGGATTGTCCGGAGGCGTACCTGTGCTTAAATTTCTCCAGAGGCTTGCTTTAGATTTTCCATATATTTGTCTGTAATTTTCCCGGGACGTTCTTACAGACAAATGTATAGGAAATTTAAAAAGTGGTTCTAGGTCTTCTGGTGCATGTAACACCCTCAAATTCTTTCAGCAGAATCCTCAGGAGTGAAGCTTTGGTTTACAAATCTTATTTTTTCAGGACAGCTGTTCTACGGAAATTATTCGAAATGAGATTCTCATACAAACACTGTAATTTCTCACGCATTTGCCTACTCGTCAAGATGGCGTCGAAAACCGTGACAAGGTCTACTGTCCGCTTCTTTTTTTCGCCTCCATTATTTTTCCTTTCGCGATTGCATGTTAATGTAGTGCAGTAGAACCTCGACATAACGAACCTCTATATCACGAAGTCCTCGGTATAACGAACGATTTACTTTACCCCAATAATAGTAACATATATGGAAAAGTACCTCGATATAACGAATTCTCATTATAGCGAACAAATTTGTCAGTCCCTTCAGCTTGGCACTTCGTTAAATCGAGGTTTCACAGTATCGTTTTATACGGCAAACTTAGTAAATAAACAAATAAATAACAAGTCTAACGGTTGTTAAGATTTGCTTGTCTTACCTCTCGCCCTTTGCTTGTTACGAGAGCGGCCAGAGGTTTGGCGTAGAAACGAGAATGTGAAAATCCTAAGCAACCATACATACTGGAAAAAAACGAAGCGAATGAATAAAGGTGATGTTTCAACAGACGATTCGCAACGACGAATGTTAGCACAACACAGCGTTGCAACATTGTTTTGAATGCCTGCAACATTGTTCCAACATCGCAACGCTGTGTTGCACTAAACGTCGTCGTTGCGAATCGTCCCGTGTAACTTTCAGGAACATTTAATTGTCAGGCTATTTGCTAT